TTATTATTATTATTACTATTATTGTGATTGTGATTGCTGTTTAATGTTGGTTCACAGTTGTTTTCATCATATTCATTGTTCCTGCTACTGTTTCGATTTTTTTTCTCGTCTTTTTGTGATAAACCTGTTTTTTCCTCATTTACATTTGGACTGTATAACTACCCAGTTGCTTACTGCTAGTCTGTTCTTTTTCACTTTTTAAATCAGCCTTAACAGTCACAGTAGATTTCGAATAATTTAAAACAAAAAAGTAACTTTTAATATTGCTTCGATTTCGAACTTTTGCGAACGAATGTTAACGTTTTGAATCCGAAGTACATGTAATTCAATACAAGCAACACATTAGAAAAATCAATGTACATGTACTGTTATACATTTTGTAGATGGATGGGGTGGGGAGGGGGGGGGAGGCATTGTTAGGCCGTGCTTTTCTAATAATCAGTTAGTTGTTTCTGTCTATCTGCTATTTCTCCTGCACGAAATGACAGGTTTTTCGTCGACATATTATTTTCTTTTACTAAATAAATTCCATTTATAAATAAGGACATTAATTGCTTCACAATTTTCCATTCCTCTAAAACCCTTTCTCAACGAGCAGTTTATGAGTGTGTAAGTCGACGCCTCCTCCGTTCAGTATTTGCAACTGTATAAACATGTAATAAACATATTAAAATAATGACTGACAACATACTATTGATCACACAATGTTAATTGTACTTTATTTGCAGTTGATGTTTTATTTTTTGTTGTTGTTGTTGAGATTTTAAAGGGTTTTTTTTACAATGTGAAGATTGCCACACTTGATGTCTCTGTGAACATTTGCGACGTTGTTGTCAATTATTGAGGTGCAATACCGTGTCAGTCATGGATTCATTCTTATGTCACTCTTTCATTTATACTCTCGATTTATCATTCATTAATATTTTAGATTGATTAATCAGTTTATTCATTGATTCATTCTTTAAAATTAATTGTTCATTCAATTTAAAATCAATTAATCAGTTCATGTTATCATTGTTTTATGCACTAATTTCCTCCTTTTCTACCTTCGTCTCCCGCCTTCCTTCCCCCATTCCTACTTCATGACGTCACAATTTGTCTTCTACTTTTCCTTTATTTAATTCGTTCCCCTGTCTGGATCAGATTTTGATTTGTCGTGTTATTTTGGTCCCTAGACTTTTATTATAATAGTACTATTGTCTTAGATCGTGCACTCTGACATAATATGTGTTCATTGTGAAGCGCACCATTTGACTCAATTTGGAGTTACATGTGAAGAGCAAAGGAGGGAAAGGTGCCACCTACATTCGGATATATGTATATCGCGACTGGTGAACC